CGAAAGAGAGAAGACAGTACTAATAATAATAAAAAATTCGACAAGCTGTTGTTTTTAAAGGTTGTAATTAGTGTTGAATTATGCTATTATGATTCTAGATAATTTTTTTTCTAAATATGTGTAACCAACTGCATGTTATGCTTACTTTTACATGTTGATATATTTTTCTTTAAAGAATACTGTCGTTTTATTTACAACAAAAGGTTACAGTAAGTTTAAGCATGTGGTAATAGATAAAATAAAAAAATAATAATTGTGTTGTTTTAAAATGGACGTATGAACTGCTCAATTTGGCAAGAAGTGATACTTTTACTCAAATCAATTAATTAAGGCCGGGATAAGAACGGCAAATAAAATGGAATAAGGGAAAAAGATTAACCCATCAATCGAAGAGTTTTGGGAGATATAACAAACCAAATCCACTAGAGATTATAAAAAAATATGACTGCATATTAATGAAGTATTGGCAAAAGTAAATTTCGAGGACGAAATTTTTTTTTTTGAGGGGAAGAATTGTAACGACCTCAAAATTTTATACATTTTAAAACTTGAAAGTAAAATTAAGCTTCAAATTAAGTAGTTGAAATTACTAAAACGAAAATTAGTAACGAGCAGTTTTTGTAAATGTTTTAGTTACACTGTAGTAAGTCGATCACGGTTAAAAATAAATGAAATCAATGCACCTATTAAACATCTTAATTAAGATAAACGATCATAGTTAAGTGGGTAAATATGATAACCTATTTTGGACTTAAATCGAATCAAAATGATAAATAAAATTAGAATGGTCTAGAAATTTAAAGTAGTCCAGAAATATTATTTTGTTGTAATTACAATCAAGGGAACACTTGGCAAATTAAAACAGAAACATTTACTTCGTAAAAGACACATGGATGCAGTATAGGGCAATTGGGCATTCATGTTACACTACAAATGTCAAGTATCATGCATGCACAAACAAAAACAATAAATAAATAAGAACAAAATTCCTAAGCCACTCGGCACACTAAATGCATGCATGCAAAAGAGAACAAATAATCAGGGCAAATATAAATGTACACGCATCCATGCATGATAAGGGTCGGTAGCTAGTGAATTATAACTTGAATGAAAGAATGCTAGCTAGTGTTTTCATATAACACTATTATCGAATAACCCATGCCTGCTATAAAAAAAAAACAAAAGAAAGAGAATTAATAAGATAGAAGAAATAGTGAGGTGAAGGGTTTTGAGTCTCCTGGAACAAAGAGAGGAGAAGCATGAAAGGAAAGCAGATTAAGAGGTTAGGGAAAAGGGAGAGTAGGGAGGAAACATGTCAAAACTTAAGGTTTGTGTTCATTCCTTCTCATATCCTAAATTATATGGTTATAATATTTTAACATTTTATTGTTATATTTTTGTGTTGCTTATATATTCTGAAATGGTATATATATATATATATATATATATCGTTTAATTCTATTATTGTGATTTTATTCTATCATTAATGTTCATTTACATGTAGATAATTGAAAATTTAGGGAATTATATTTATAATTTTGAAAAGTATATATACTCCGTATTTAGAAGCTAAGTAAGCGTGGATCCTTTTATTAGAAGAGGTACTTTTAAAAATTGTCCCACGTCATACATTAAGAAATATTTCATTTAACGTACTGTTTCTTATTTTTAGTGTACATATATGAAAATTTTAAATAGGCCACTCGTATTGACGAAAAATGAATACAGATGTATTAAATTCAAAATAAAATGTTTGACTCAAATTTTAAGTTAAGAAGTTCAAATCGAAGTACTATACATATAGAAAAGACCAATTAAGTTTCGAAAATAATGTATTGAAAAGGAAATAATAAAAGTCATTTGAATGACAATAATCTGTAAGTATAAATAATACTCCGTATTGTTTTAAGACTTGAAATTATTTTGATTATAATAAGGTAGAATTCTAATGTAATATAATCTTAAGCAGATTCGGAAATTATTAAAATATATATATACATGATGAGTTAAATTCAAAACTTATGTACGTAAGTTTATAGATTATAGATTTATTATGGATCATAATAGTTAACTTGAATTTATTCAATGACTTATATATATATATACTTATATGCATACGTGAAAATAGTTGTTTGAATTGAACTATATTAAAAATAATTGAGGTGAGATTTATAACAAAGTCAATTCAACAAAAATGTTATACATGCATATAGAGATCTATATATTAGAAATTTATATATAAAAAAAGAAATGAACAAATACGGGAGTTGTACACACAAACCAATTTCGAATATCATTATGTTACAACTTGAAATTATAATGATATTATTTCGAATTGAGAATAATTTTAATGATACAAATTGAAATGTGTTAAGTTGAATACAAAACATATGGAATTTGAAACCTAGTTTCTGGATTCGGATAGGTTGGCATGCCAATAGGGATAGTTAATACGGCCGTAGAATTCGATCGTTTAGGGTCCGCAGCCACAGAGTGGACAGTACCCAAACGAAAGGCCTGACCCACACAACGGTCAGTGCTGATACCATACTCGAAATCTTGAACTTTGATCGTTTAGGGTCCGCAGCCACAGAGTGGACAGTACCCAAACGAAAGGCCTGACCCACACAACGGTCAGGCTGCTACTACTCATATGGTCCGCAGCCACAGAGTGGACAGTACCAGATGAGGAATGTCCCGTTTATCCAGTCCATTAAATTAAGGAGTAGAATTCCATAAACTTAATAAAAGAGTGAAAAAGAAAATAGAAAGATTGACATTGAGCAGAAGATAAAAATTGAGTAATTGAAAGTTAAAGTGAGACAAGAAGAAAATCAAATGGAATATTGAATTACAGCTAGATATAGCTCTATCTAGCTCATGTGAATTTCGACTGTGACACAAAGTGGTGAAAATCGAGATAGAGAGCATTGAAAGAAAATGTGCATAATGAAAAATATACTTTGAAAATCGCTCTATGTGTTATAAAGGAAACTATGAGTTATTAACAGCTCAACTAAAGAGTAGAATATTAATATGGATATTGTACATTTAGAAGGATATTAGAATAACTACTTTGAACAAATGGAGTATAATGAACTAGCTACTACGAACGAAGTGATATGATATATATTTTGAAATAACTAATTTGATTGATGATTTTGTATTATTCCTGATATACGAAGGTTAACATGCTACTATAACAAATAGGGCTTGTACTTTGAATATTTGATTATGAGACATAGAATTTAGGGGTGAATTATAAGTTATTAAAGATTTCAACGAAAGAGTTGACTTTTTATTATATTACTAAATAGCTATTTGGGAACAAAATGGATTAAGTTTATATTTTGCAATATAGTATATTTGCAATGTCATTTTTAATTGTTGATTTACTATGTGATATTTGACACTAAATTGTAAAGAGAAAGAATGAACACCACTAAGCAAGATTTGCTTAGCGCGTTGGATTTTGTATGTCCTTCGCGTAGGTACCTAGTTGATATGAGGCACAAAGTTCAAGGAGGAAAGCATTTGGGAGCAACCTGCCAATCACCACAGAGTCACACTTGCATTTAGTAATATTCATACTTAGTCTGCATAATAAATATGTAATTATCATATTAGTATGATGTAATAGCACATTTAACATTTACTTAATTATTATGTGTAAAATATGAATGCTTCCGCAAACATAAAATTGGATAAAGTTATTATCATTATTAGTTCACTTTTAAAATAAAAGTATTTTTGGAATAATGAAAAAGAGAATGAAAAAGTCAGTCAACGCTTTGGTGCTTCGGCACTGCGGGTAGCGCTCCCTTACCCGAGCCTTCCGGGCCGGGTAGGGGGTGTTACAAAGGAGGACAAAGCACTTGAACCCAACTTTAGAAACCTCTTTTGAGTTTTTGTCACTTTAGTCTCAGGGACACTTTTAGACTTTTAGTTCATGCCCATTAAATTTTCCATTTTTAGGCATTCGACTATTGTACAAGAGAATGTTTTAGTTCTCCACTTCAAAATTCTCCACATTTGGGTCTATGAGTATTGTCAAATTGATACTTTAGGTCTTTCACTGTGATTTCGGTAGAACAAGTGAGGGACTAAAAATGTTGCTCCAAGAGCATAGCTAGTCTTATGACTATAAGTGAAAAAGTTAAAAATTGAGTATCAAAAGCGTCACCGAAAACAGATGTTTGTCAAGTTTCAATACGACTCATGTGCCAACTTGCCATAGGTTTGACCCCTTAGTAAAGGAAAACCAAAGGAGAAAATGAAGTAATAGTAATTGCAATAGCAATAGCAATAGCAGTAACAGCAGCAACAGCAACAACAAGAGCAACAACAACAGTAACAGTAACGGTAACAATAACAGTAACAGTAAGAGTAACAGTAACAGACTAACAATAACTATCAATAATAATTGATCATAAAGTTAATTGATCGCTATCAATAATAAGTTTATTTTCAATAAATAAAATTCACATATTCAGAAATTACATTTAAAATTTTATAAAATCATAAAAGAAAAACTCAAATTTGTTAAAAATTGAGTACATAATAAAGTAAATAATTGTTTTCAAACAAAAAAAATAAAGTAAATAATTAAGAACAATTTTCGTTAATGGAAGAATAATCAACACAAACCTTTAAGGGAGTGTTTGCAATTGCTTCAACTTTAAAAAAAGTGATTTTTTAAAGTGATTTGGGGAAAAGTGATTAATAGTAAAAGTTGGTAGTGTTTGAGAAAAAAGTGATTCTGAAAAAGTAAAAGTTGATAGTGTTTGGTAAAATAAGTACTTTTTGTGTAATAGAAAAAGTAAAAAGCAGTTTAAAGCACCCTTCCACCTGCTTCCAGCTTTTAGCTTTTAAGTGATTAATTTAAGCAGAATCTGTCATTTGAAAACACTCTTTTTAACTTTTTTAAGCCAAAAACTGTAAAGTACTTTTTTTAATTGTAATTACCCACCAAAAAATATGGGAAAGAGTCAAAGAGAGGTTGGGTTTAATTAATGTAAGGCAGCTGAGACCTTTTTAGACGCTTTTGTTTCTATCAGTAGTCTTCCGATCTTTTCTTTTGCGAATCATTAGATCGCTGGACTGCGATTTCGACTCCGGTTGGTTACTTCCTCGACAAGGTCCCTCTTTCTGATACTTCGTAGATAACAAGGAAAACAAAAAGGAAACAAAAACTTCTCCATTATTATTCTTTATTCATCTTCCCAAACTCAGAAAACCAATAAACATCGGACTCATTGATGCGTACAAGATATATATTACAAAATCGCAAGTAATTCTTTATTTCGGTTATCCTCTATGTAGTAAAAGATGCTTCTACTCCATCTATTTTTGTGCTGTGTCGACCTGACCCGATTTAGATTTCTCTGCGAGTTGCCGATCTTGTTTATGATTGCAGGCAGTCATTGATTGGTTGCTTTGTGGCTTTGGGTTTTGGCGGCTGCGGAGGCAGTAAAGTTGTGATTTTTTCTGGTGAACTATTTCAAAGGGCGTTGTAAAATTCGAGCTTTGCTGGTGGGTCGGGTCGTTTGTGGATCCCCAATCCAGCAAAATTTATAAAATTTTGGGGCTGTTAAAGAAATCTCCTGGGTTTTGGAGGGTTTTTTGTTTGGGGTCTTAAGTGTACGTTCTCTCTCTCTGTATATCAATAACATCTTTCATGCTTTGCTTAGTTTTGGGTTGTTTTGGATGGTTTGATGGTGGGTATTCATTTAGCGTGGTGGGTTAGAACCCATAAATTACCCATCTGGTTTAAGAATAGTTCTTCTTTTGCTTGTTGATTTATAGGATTTGGGGTAAGAAGATGAGTGCAAGTGATGTGTCTGGCAAAGTTCAGAACGGGAACCTTTTAGTTCATGTTGCTGAGAATGGGAAGTCATATGATCTTAGTTGTAATGAATGCTCTCTGGTTGAAAACGTGCAGCAGACCCTAGAATCAGTTTGTGGCATTCCATCGAACGATCAGCTTCTCTTGTGTGGAGATGTGAAACTAGAATCGCGGTCCCCACTCTCAACTTACAAGCTCCCATCAGATGACCGTGAGGTGTTCTTGTTCAACAAATCAAGAATGCGAACAAACGCACCTTCACCCCCACCTGAGCAAGTTGATTTAGTCGGCATACCCAATTCGCCTTTGCCTAGTCAATCACACGACCCGCACCCCTTGGACAATGCTTCAGACCCTGCCCTAAAAGCACTGCCCTCGTACGAGAGGCAATTTCGGGACCACTTCCACTGTGGAAATGCAATTTACGTCCTTTCGCAAGTGAAGTTTGAGGCATGTGAAAGGCTGTTAAAAGCCCAAAAGGTTCAAGAGAGAGCCACGGGGATTGCCAGGGGCAATCTTGACCATTTCTATGGAATGATCCTGCATAATTATGGGGAATTTTTGAAATGCTACACACAGCAGCATCGGGCCCACTCCGATCTGATAACGAATTTCAGGAGGGATGTAGAAAGGTTGAGATCTTGCAAAATCCACCCAGCCTTGGAAACTGCTAACAGAAAGTGTTTGTTGGACTTTGTGAAGGAGGAGAATTTGCATAAATTGGTGGAGGATTGTAATGGGTCTCATCAGCAGTTTGAGAATAAGGTTTTGGAATTTAAGCAAGAGTTTGGGGAGTTAGAACGGCATGCCGAGCAGTTATTGTCAAGCAAGGCTTCTGTTATTACCGGGGACCTTGAACAGGCAATCAGGGAGCATCAGAAGTATGTTAATGAGCAGAAAAGCATAATGCAGGCTTTAAGGTTCTCTTTCTTCTAATCCCCCATTTTCATTTCATGTTCATTTGGATCTTTTTTGTACATGATTTAGTGACCACTTTCTTTCATAGTTACACCTCGAGGCTATAGAAGTTTGAGCATACTGACTGATTCTTTTATAGTTTAATAGATAGATAGAGAAAATAATCAGTAACTAAACACTAAGAGCTTCTCATCACTAGGTATCTAATAAACATACAGTATATGACAGTTTCCTACGATCTCCTTTTTTGGATGCCTTATCCAGAACAGAAAAGCTTCCAAAAGATTTATTGACAACAGTGAGGGGTGAATAAGGATGTTTACCTCATATCCATAGTAAATAAATTAGAGACATCTATTTTCCATATGGGCATGCTCAAATGTGTACACACTTGTGATACCTATGTTCTACTTTCCATACAGAAATATAGATGATCGTGTAGACCACGACTGGGTGGAATTATTTATGTACTTCCAGAATTTGTGCTACCATAAGATTTTTTATACTGCCCTGTTTTGCATTAAATCTCTGGCCCATATCTTACATGTGCTTGTTGTTCACATCAAACTTCTGATGCTCTTTTTTTAAACCATAAATAGTGAATTATAAGTGCATGCAAATTATTTGAGGGAAAATTCCCAAAATAGAAATAAAAATGTATTGCAATTTCAAAGTAGGAGCACTATGTTTTTATTCCCTAAATATGAGTAATTACTGTCAAGCTTGGAAAATACTGCCATGCTTAGAGTTTACTAATGTCAAAACATTGCAGTAATTACTCCTATATAGTGAATAAAAACATATTAGTCCTATTTTGGAATTTAAAAACGTTTTTACTCCAATTTATGAAAATTTCTTAGTATTTAAAGATCATTCTTAATTTTAATATATTGAGTCGAATCAGGTTCAATGCTTCTCAATTAACTTAGAAATGTTAATTCATCACATTATGTTTAGGAGTTAGTAAGCACTACTTTTTGTTATTTTGTTTGTTTTGTAAGCTTGTTGAGAATTAACACAATACCTCATTTAATATGCCCCCTTTGTTTGCATGTTTACCCGACATTCCTTTTTTGATGTTTTTATTTATTTGCCTCACTTCCCAAATTTTGCAAGTTTTACCATATCAAAAAACATAAGTATCCTTATATTTAATCTTCTTATTCTTACTTGTAGAGTTGTACTATATATTCATCTTCTCTACTATTTTACTCTTAAACTATTTGATAAATCTAATGGATTAAACAAAAAATAGAGGCAGTATAATATACTATATATGTGCATCCTCATGATTCACGACCTCACTTACAGTTTAAATTTTTAATTGAGTTGTAACACCAATGGAAAACATGGAAAGTTAATCATAGACAAAAGGACACACTCATCATGATTCACGAACTCACTCATAGTTTAAATTGTTAATTTTGTTGACACAGCAGGGGGGTGTCTTTGCTGTGTTTTGTTTACTGAACTTTTCACAAAAGCATTGGTCGGTATCCAGTCAACCAAAGACAAAAAGAGCACGCTCATCACATATTCACTCACAAACAATGTTCTAAAAGGCGCAAGGCGGCGCGATCAAGCCTTAATCCTTTGAAGCCTAGGCGGGCTTAGGCGTGAAAAGGTGTTTTGATTTTTTATCCATTATTTTGATTTTCCTAGAACTATTTTTAAATATTTAAATTTAATATTTAATAATGTTATTCAAGAACAACACACTTTTCTCATTTTCAACAAAAAAAAGTGTCGAGTCCCAAAACCAATAGTACACACACACACACATTCCAATTACATAAAAATAGAATTGGAAAAGGTAGTTGAATGATAAAATATATCAATTAATAAAAATAATTAATATTTAATACGTGACCAAAATAAGGAATGTGAATAAAAATGTGAGTTAATTAATATGTACTCCGTAATAATTAGAATAAGGGAAATTGCCTGAAATAGGAGTAAACAACTTTGGGAATTCCAAAGTAGGACTACTATGTTTTTCTTTCCAATATAGGTGTTGTTATTGTCATGATTGAAAAGTGCTGGCATGATTGAAAAATACTTCCATTAATTATAATAAATATTGCCATGTTGAATGCATAGTAAATACTGTCATCTTACTCCTATTTCGGGAAGAAAAACATAGCAGTCCTATTTTGGAATTTCAAACCCTATTTAGTCCTATTTTGGGAAATCTCCCTTACAATCATTACAAAGATAATAGTATTAATCAATTTTAATATTAATACTACGTAATTCGTGGTACAGAGTTGCTCAACGTGTGTAGTACAGATAACAATTGCATAACAATGACTAGTGATCAGTTGGAGGAGTATCCAATTAGTTCCCATTTCCAGCTGGGTTCGAAACCCCTGCCTCTCATGCCTGATTTTTAGTTTAAATTTTGTTTCTTTCTTTGCCATTCATCTTTCCCACACCGGAGTGAAAGAAGCGTTTCAATTCGACAAACTCTATATATTGTCCGTCCCCTATCCATTCCTCAAGAAACACCTTAGTCACTCAAAGAGTCAACAGGTGGGTCAAAATTGGAGGGTTAGATTAATCAACCCGCCTTTTCCACGCCTAATAGCAATGTGAGGCGTTTCATTAACGCCCGGCGCCTAGGCCGCCTTTGGCCGCCTTTTAGAGTACTGCTCACAATTGACTTTTATGACATTAGTATTAATATTATATTATTATTTATTATTATTAATATAATTATGAAAACAGAGTTAAATATTACCAACTATTGTCCAACAACTTATATTAATACATATTATAAAAGTAGGCATTCCATACCTCAACTGTCAAATATATAATGAAAATGATACATATCTAATTTTCGACATCAATTTTGGCCACTTTACTCAAAATGACGGCGAACTATCAAAAAACTTTGTTTGATGGTGTGGTACAAGTTTTTTGTGGTTTTGAATGACCAGATTTGATGTTAGAAAGTGGCTCTCTTTCATTTTTAGTGAGGTATAAAGTAGTTATTTTTATAGTATGCACTCCCTTTGTCCCTTAAAACTTGGCCAAGTTTGACCGACATGAGGATTAATACAAGAAAAACTGTGTGATTGAAGTTTGTGCAGAGGAGAGAGATGAGAGAGAATTGACTGGAACCCCAAATTCTTTACTTAAAGGAAAGTGCCAAAGTTAGTGGGACTACCAAAAAGGGAAGGTTGACAAAGTTATAAGGGATGGAGGGAGTATTATTATTATTGGTTGAACGGAGATAGTTAGTATTATTTAAAGTAATTTTTCCTTATTATTATTATTATTATTATTATTATTATCTATTATTTGTATCTCCATGTGATGATATTTTTTGTATTATTATTACTTACTAGTGACCATTATGATTGTTTTATTATACTTATAAATTTAATTAGATATAAACAATATTTGATATTACAACTAATAATATTTACAAATTCATGCCCATGCAGTAAAGATGTGAACATGGTAAAAAAGCTTGTAGATGATTGCCTTACTGGCCAGCTATCATCCTCTCTCCGTCCACATGATGCAGTTTCTGCCCTGGGTCCCATGTATGAATCCCATGAGAAAAGTTATCTCCCCAAGATGCAGTCTTGCGACCGAGCAATAACTGGTTTGCTTGATTTCTGCAAGGACAAGAAGAACGAGATGAATGTCTTTGTCCATAACTATATGCAAAAGATAGCATATATCCAGTTCATGATAAAGGACATCCGATGCAAATTCTCTGTCTTCCAGGAGGCTTTGAAGCGTCAGAGCGATCTCTTTGAAAATCTAAAAGTTGTTCGGGGGATTGGGCCTGCATACAGAGCTTGCCTTGCAGAAGTTGTTAGAAGGAAGGCTTCGATGAAGCTCTACATGGGCATGGCGGGACAGCTGGCTGAAAGGCTTGCTGCCAAGAGGGAGATTGAAGTTTCTAGAAGAGAGGAGTTTTTTAGGGTTCACAGTTCATACATACCAAGGGATGTTTTGCTGTCTATGGGATTGTTTGATACCCCTAGCCAGTGTGACGTGAATATAAGTCCTTTTGATACCAAGTTGGTTGATATCGATATCTCAGAACTTGACCATTATGCCCCTGAGCATTTGTTGGGACTATCCTACAGACGTGAAGTTGATGATGGTGGTTTTGAACTTCCTAATAATAATGACTCCGTTGAGTTTCTTGATATTGTTGGAACAAGCAAGATGGAAGTTGAAAACGCAAAACTAAGAGCAGAACTTGCTTCTAAGATAGCCTTGATTTGTTCCATTAGCCCCGAAGTATGTTATGAATCTTTTAATGATGAGGGTAAAATTGACAGTTTGCTAAAAGATGTTAGAGAAAAAACATCTGAAGCCATTCGTTTGAAAGAAGAGTATGAAAAACACCTTAAGTCCATGTTGAAGGTGAAGGAAACACAGTGTGAATCATATGAGAAACGAATTCAGGAGTTGGAGCAGCGTTTGTCTGATCATTATGTGCAAAGCCATAAAGATTCTTTGGGTGAGGGCGTGTCAAACTTAACTGTTTCATGCACCTCCAGTTCATTAGATAGCAAAACGGGGATTATTTCCAAACAGGGAAAGACACAAGAAACATTGTTATTATATGATAATAACATGTCAGATTCTTCTAGTACGTTTAACCCTCAATTGGATTCATCTATGGTAGATCCTCACCGTGATGAAGATCAAGACCACTTTTCTGACAAGGCGGTGAAGGAGACAGTATCTGTGAATCATTCAAGCTCTATGGATCTGAGTGTGTCTCGGCCTGTGAGTGCTTTATTACCTTCTGAAGCAGCTGTGGGGCTTGATTTTAATTCAAAATTAAGTGGAGATCTTGTTGTTGAGTTCGAACATGCGCTCGCGGAGAAATCAAGCCAGCTTAACGAGGCAGAAAATGAGCTCAAAAGGTTGAGAGAAGAGGTTACCAAGTTAAGCGGGGAGTTGGAGAAGAAAAGGCAGCTCCTTGATGAGTCTCAGGTATTGTTATTGACTAAACTTTTGCGTAGTAGATTTTTCTTAATATAAAGATGCTTTAACCAAAAACTATAAACTATGGGTGTGTTACTTGTCACTCCAGTGATGTATTGAGGATTTGAGGGTGATTAATTTTAGATTAGGTTTATTTTATTATTTCTCTGTCCTGTTCTCTATTTCCTAGACCTGAAACAAGATCCCAACCACGATCATAACAATTTGATATCAGAGCTATCACGTTCCTCACATTTCATCCGCTTCTCTACATTTTTTCACTCAAAAAATATTGATCATACTAATAATGAATTGTGTACCTTTATTTGTACCAGTTCCAAGAGTCTTGGTGGACTAGGAGTAGAATACCCTATTACCCTAAATCTATTACAACATTGTTATTAGGAATACTTAACTATTATAGACTTCATGATGATGCTGATGATATGAGCGAGGAAATTTTATATTATTATTATTAGTTGTAGTAGTCGATTAGTAGACTAGTAGTATGTAGTAGTAGTTTATTATTAGTATTATTATTTAGTTATGCAGTTTTGGTCAACTTCTTATTAATCTAATTTTGTGTTCCTACTATGATAATGATTTTGATTATTGTAATAGTTATAAGGGTCTTTTGTATTTAATAAACAACCTTTGTAGAATTAATTGTTGTGTGTCTTGACAAGGTTGGGCACCGCTTGATTCTAGCTCAGGGCCTTAGGCTTATTTTATTATTCCTCTGGTCCTCTCTCATATTTTCTATTCTCTAGATCTGCAACAAGATCCCAACCTTGCTCATAACAAAGTAATGCACCCATGACAACAAAATTGGTAGTTTATCAAACCTGTGTTTACTCAAACACTCTCTATACTGCTTTCTCCCGCATTGTTTTGCAGATGAATTGTGCTCACTTGGAGAATTGTCTGCATGAAGCGAGAGAGGAAGCTCAAACCCATCTTTGTGCAGCTGACCGAAGGGCCTTAGAGTATGGCGCATTGCGTGCTTCTGCTGTCAAAATGCGTAGCCTCTTTGAGAGGTTGAGAGCTTGCGTTTTGTCGGGTGGGACCGCTGGTTTGGCTGAGTCCCTACGTGCATTGTCGCTGTCTTTGGCAAAGTGAGTCTCAATACGTCCTTCTTTCTTGTTTGGTTCTTATTTTCTGGTGTGACACGGGTGCACAGTTTTTTTACCATAAACTTATGGGGCTACTATGGCCTTAATTCTGGGTAAAATGCATTTTTTTTTGTGCTTGAACTATGGGGCATTGTCAAACCTAGTCCTGTTGAGTGTTTTTTCTTGTAACATAGACCCATCACTAACAAAATGCCGATATTTCAGTCCTGAAGCAACCAAAAATTGTAAATCCAGTTTAGGCATGGTTCAAACTGGGAAGAATCTAGAATGAATTTGGCTGATGTAGCATTTTTTTATATTTAGAATTCCAAATTTTCATTTTTAAGAATAAGAAGTCAGACAAATATCATTTTTTAAGATACATTTTGGCATGTTTTAATTTATTAAAACACACTTTGCGACAGTTCACCTGATCCCCAATTTGAACTGCAGTTATGGCGAATTTCTCAACTTCTTGCAACTTTGAGACCTAGGGTTTGTTTCGGACTTGGAAAATACTTAGGCCGTCTTAGGGTGAAGAAAACAGGGAGGAGAATGGGAAGGAAATAAAATTTGTGTGGAACTGTGAAAGGAGTGGACAAGCTCAACCATGAATTATTTTAGATATTTGTCCAAACAAATTTATTTATTCATTTTTGTTTTATGAAGATTTAGCATTCTATGTACATGAAATAAATAAACAACACTGCATTTTCCTTTGCATTTTCCAATATCAAATCCTACATACAAAATAACTTTCCTTAGAATTCTTTTCTCTTTCTTTAACATTTTCCTGGATCCAAACTTACTCCAATTCTCCAAATGATCTGACAGTTTAAACTACAATTATGAATTGCATAAACAAATTAGAAGTAGAACATAGTTAATTTTGTCAACCCCTATCACCCGTCATACTCTGGTCCTATAGTTTCTTTAACTGCAGTGTTCAAGTAAGAAGTGGGCATGTCTTGCCTGGCAGAATTAACTAAAGGCTGAATTAACTGAACAAATTCTTTTTTACTTTTCCAAATATTTTAGTTCGGTCAATGAAAAGGAGGAAGATAGTACTGCTGAGCTCAGAGAATGTGTTCGGGTGCTCGCTGAAAAAGTTGGTGTGTTGTCAAGGAACCGCTCGGAGCTGCTCGAGCAGTGTTCAAATGCTGAAGCTGCGAACAAGCAGCTACTCAAAGAGTGCGAAGAGAAAAAGGAGTTGGTTAACACACTCTACAAAAAACATCAACTCGAGAAACAGGTATCCCACATAGGCTAATTTGCCTAATCTATCAATCATTCCTTGAATCTTTTTCATTATATGAATAAACCATAGTTACATAAATTGCTGGGAAGGTCACGATCTGCGAACCGAACGCTCCGTACCGAATCGCGGTACGAAAGCGATCCAGTCGCCACCTGGAACGCTAAACAGAACGTACTTCAACTCGATCCCAATCGCTTTTAGAAACGATCTTATTCGCTGTTCGCATCTATTTCAAATGCTTTCAAACTCGATCGAAAACGAATCTCAGGTCATTCCTCAACTGTTACCCCAGTGAACCCGTTTGTGAAGGTCGTTTCCCAAATTGAATCGTCGTTTGAAGACAAACGCGCAGATTTGAAATACGATATTATTTGTTTAGGTCGGCGGCCCTGCGCTTCGTTTTCTGGAATATTAATTAATGTTTTCAAACCAGGCTCTTCGTTTCTACTTACAGGCGCTACTAATTTGTTCTAATAGGCTTACGGAATATCAAACCAGGCTCTTCGTTTTCTGGAATATTAATTAATGTTTTCAAACCAGGCTCTTCGTTTCTACTAACAGGCGCTACTAATTTGTTTTTGTCTAATCTGTGATTTATAAAATCTGTAATTCAGTTTTATTAAAGTACCAAAGTATAAGGTACACTGTACCGAACATGTGGTACACCGTACCGAACGCGTACCGGAATGAGCCTACCCCCCTCCGAACCGGATACGCTAGACCTAGCGAACCGCGTTCCCGATCCTCGTTCCCGTACCGAATCGTTCCGCGAACTATTTGACTATGGAATAAACTATTATACTGAATAATACAACTTTTACAATGTTAGTGAACCACTTTCCATGCTACGAGGTTTTATCATTATTTATGTGTTGGTCTTTGAATCAAATTTGTGGCTATATGGGGAATAGTAAATTTAGTCCCTCTGTTAGTATTGTCACTTGTGATCCTTGAATTGACACTGAATTTGTGTTTTAGTCCATCGAAGAATTTTTAATGTACATTTAAAATTATTTGAACTTTTTATTTATAAGATGTAGTAAGATAATTGCACACAAATAAAATTAAAAAACTAATAATAAGTACATAAAAAAAACAATTACTATATCTTTGTAAATTAAGACCCACAAATAAGAGAGATAATAAAATTGTAGAAAAGCTACATAGTGAGTAATTGACAAATAACTTGATTCTCATGTTAAATTATTTTTAAAAATAAAATTGTTAAATGAGTACAATAACGTTCTCGTCCAAGCCTGAGATCAAGAGTGCGGAAGCATAGATGTGCCGAGAGAGATAGCTTCAGATCTATGCATGACAGTTAATTACAAAAACAAGCTTAATGCAAAATTAATTGGGGCCTTACCTAGTCAAGGCACACCACAAACAATTCTCCGAAAGAACATATCTATCCATACTTCGCTCCTTATGATACCCCAATCCTAAAAGGAAATATATAACTAACTAAAGCTAATAGAAGCAAAAGGGTTGTTTACTTTTTTCATCAAGTCCTGAATGGATTAAGACGTCTATCTGCATTAAGCCGTCTTTCTGGATTAAGTGGCACTGAGATAACGAACTGTTTACTAAGCGATCTGGATGACACGTCTGATCATGTGAAATGACCAAATAACTCTCCTGTATGGAACAAGAGCTGAATATATATTGTCTGTCTACTCTCCTTGTTCTGAATGATAATTTCATATGCCCAAGAACAAGGATGTTTTCTTTTAGACTGAAATTTGGTGGTCCTGTCTGGTCTGGTCTGTTTAAGCCTGGTCTGGGACTGAAAACAGTCCAAAAGAAAACATCCTAACAATACTATGAACTATTTAAGAAAAAGATTCACATTACATGATAAGAAAAAGTCAAGCATTTTACGATACCAATATTTTAATGTTAAACATTTCCTACTAGTCTATTAACAATTTCATCCCGCAAATTCGTCATATATGTAGACTTTGTGTACCCCAATGTGTTTTCATTTACTTCTCCAATATCTTCACTTTCTTCTTGTGCTTCATTGTTGATTATATTGTTTCAAAAAAGTGCTTTCAGACTACTACCTTCCCGCAATCCCGCCCGTTTACAGAAATCTAATAATGGATACAGGTCTCAAGAAATGTTTTCATCACAATGATATCTTTCCAACTTAACCTACATCATTTTTGCTTTTCTGATTCACCAACAAGTTCCATACCTAAAGAATGAAATAAATATCTCCCAATAAATCATGGAGTGCTAAATAGACGGCTAACTAATGTAATAAAATCTACCCATTGCAATGTGCAAAACTATGCAAATCAAGTGCAAAAAATCTCTCTACTAATTTAAGAAATATCCTTTTTTCTTTTTATGGAGCAAGGCATTGACACATTTTGTTTTTTTCAATAGGCAAACAAAGAGAAGATATCATTTGCTAGGTTAGAAGTGCATGAGATTGCAGCATTTGTGTTGAAACCAGAGGGGGGATATTATGAGGCAATTAATCGCCACTGCCCACACTATTACCTCTCTGCTGAATCTGTGGCGTTGTTCACCAACCATCTTCCGACCCATCCAAGCTACATTGTCGGGCAGGTGGTGCATATAGAACGACAGACTATCAGGCAATCAACTCAAACAGGCCGCGTGAATTCCGGACCAACTTCAACTCCTTATAATCTCCCGGTTGGCTGTGAATACTTCATTGTAACTGTGGCCATGTTACCAGATACCACCGCTATTCACTCTCAACCCCCTTCCTGATCGCTCTCTGGTGGCATAATGGAAATGATGGAAGTTTTAACTGGTCTTAGTGTATACTATATTTTCCCATTATGCAGATTTCGCTACGTGTACAGTTTTTCTGGGAACAATTGATGGAAGCATGTTGTACATAAAATCCCTCTTCTTGAAAATTCTAAACTTTGTGAATATATCCCTTTAGCTCCTTTATTATGTCCGAATGCCTCGTGATATGTACATGCATATTTAAATATGAAAATAGGGGTAGTACCTTGAACTCAACGTCTAGGGCTTAATTTAGGTTAAGGATGTTTTTACTTGGATTTCAATCCAGACCATACTTGGATAGTTATAAAAATACATCGAGACTAGACATTATCATACCAAACCTGCAAATTGCAGTCCAAACAAAAATATCCTGAACAAGTAAAATTTCATAGTTTATTAAAACTTTTATGAAGTATTGGTAGTGGTGGAGCCCCTCTTGTTCCAAATTGTTCACATGAACACTCAATTTTTTGAAAAACATGCAAGTATATGTGTATAAATTTAGTACAATTATTTATTACTCTTTACATTTTTAGTTGTAAAAGACTTTGAACATCTAAAATGTAAATTCTAAATCCACCACTGAGTATTGGTAGTTCAATGAAATTTTCCATCATTTGCAATAGAGCCAATGATTCACTATTATTTGATTTGAGAATATGATGGAATAAAACAAAATGTTTTACACTTTTACTAAATGGGTTGCGCTTCTTTGTCATGAAGCAAAGTCAACTTATGCAAATTTTGACGTGATTTTCACTATGAATCATTCAGAACCAGTCTTTTTGTGTTTTAGTACATGGGTAAAATTGCGTACATCCGAATTCCCCTTACCCCGCCGAAAGTGTGGGAGCCTTTGCGACACTGGTGTAATGTATTGCTGGACTCGGGCCGGTTCGAGCCCGGTTCGGGCCTGGGCCCGGCCGGGCCTCGGGCCAGAAAACTGGGGCCCGAGCCCGAACCGCCGGTGGCTGGATCCGGTCCAAACCGGTCCATTTTTTTTTATTCTCCTATTTAACCCCCTCCCCCTCAATCCCAAACCACCCCAAACCACCTCAAATGGCCCAAAATACCTAATCCAACCCAAAACTTAAAAAAAATTCAAAAAAAAAAATCCTGCCCGGACCGGGCCCGAACCGGCCGGGCCGGTTCGCCTAAAGCAGGGCCCGAGCCCGGACCGCCCATCACCCGGGCCAGGCAAAACCGAACCGTTGGACCCACCGGGCCCCGGGCCGGGCCGGGCCAAACAGTAACCAGGCCGGGCCGGTTCCGGGTCGGGCCGCCCGGCCCGAGTCCACCCCTTACTGTAATGATGATGATGATGCTGGTAGTTTATTGAATTCAATGTCCTTACATATGGGCTTAATGTAGAGTAATCATGTTCTTATCTTTTTATACTTTTAAACTGTAGTAACGTAGATTAACTCTTGTAAATTTAACTCTTGTAAATGCATTGTAAAAATAATATTTGTTTTTTATGATTAAATACAGACTAACATTTGACAAGACAAATTTTCAGATGTTTTAAATAGCATATGTGTAAGTATAATATATAATTAATAGACAATTGTTCTGTCGGTTGACTATATATAAATATCTATGGCCTAAAAGTATGCCTATTTAGGTACTACCTATGAAATAGCAATACCTTTCAAAAACTGCTCCCTCTCGTATTCTATATTACCTATTTACCTCTGTCTGAATGGGTTGTGCACTCCTTGGATTAGGTGAGAAATAATAATAGTAAAAATTGTGTGGTTGAAGTTTGTGCAGAAGAGAGAGAATGATCAAAACCACAGAATAGTTACTTTAATAGGAAAATGGTAAAAAAAAAAATCGGATAACAAAAAAGGAAAAGTTAACCCGGGAACATTATACAACCCTAGCAAGCCTTCACTAGGAGATTGTTTGGATGCTGATTTGAGTTGGCTTCATGCTAGGCAAATGTTTTGGATGCGGACTGGACCGCCGGGAAGGTAGCTGACTGAGCAAGGGGACTTCATTGCTTCAACGCCTAGCGTTGCTTGATTTTATTGATGGTTTATTTTCTTTTGATGGCCTTTTGGGCCTTGGATGTAGGATGGACCTCGGGCCTTTTACTGGTCTGTGGGACATTGGGATCAATTTGAAAATCTCTCATCCCTGCCCATCACCAAAAGGGGGTGGGGTGGGAACTGCATGTTAGATTCTACTGTTGCTTAGTTTTAAATATCTTAGATAGATTTTGACTTCTGACACCCTACATTTTATATGATGTTACTATTTTTCCGGGTGATATACACACACACACACATATATATATATATATATATATATATGTGTGTGTGTGTGTGTGTGTGTGTGTATATATATATAGAGAGAGAGAGAGAGGAATGATCCTGTCCAGCAGTCCCCGGTCCGAACGCCGTCCGAACATGGACATTTGGGGCATTTTTAGGTGGAATGTTTTGATGAATTTTTTTGAGCATATTCCTCATCAAGTCTAGTTTGTCCATACCAAATTTCAGTTCAAAATTCGACCGGGAAGGCATTCAAATCATTTTTTGCAGTTGACTGCGTCAAAATATTCATATAAAAATGCAGTCAACTTCAAAAAATGATTTGAATGTCTTCCCGATCGAATTTTGAGCTGAAATTTGGTATGGACAAACTAGACTTGATGAGGAACATGCTTAAAAAATTTTATCAAAAAATTCCACCGGAAACCGTCCCAAACGGCGGTGTTCGGACGGAGGCTCCCGTCCGAATGTTCGGACCTGAACATTCTTGTGTGTGTGTGTGTGTGTGTACACACATTTAATAAAAAAATAATACATATCATATAGTGTTATTTTTATTTTTAGGATATTTGTTTAGGAATTGTGTTCTTGATTTTCTTGGTATTGTGATTTTCAGCTCTGGAACCATAACTTATAGGCCTAATCTTATTTCGAGAACGATGACCAAGTTCACAACTAGCTACCAGTCACAAGTACATACAAATATATCATGATGCCAACATTTCCACCCGAATGTGATCGTGTGTGGTGAGGGCGGTAATGGTTATTCATTTAGGCATAATAATGGATTCAAAGGGATATATTCACAAAGTTAATTGATGGAAGCTTGTGCGTAAAATATGTACATAAAATTGATGGAAGCATGCCGTACGTAAAATCTCTCTTTCATACTACTTCAGAGTCCAGAATAGTGCACTTCTCAATGAGGAAGTTCCTTGGCATTTGATACATTTGTAATTAAGTACGCAATTGAAATACTACGATCATAATTTAAATACTACGGAGTACTTCACAATAGTGCGCTTTTTGACAATTTCATAGTTTCATTGGAGTCTATAGTAATTCAAATGCACCGAAGAGGCGAAGATAACTATTGATGTTCCAAATATGAACAAACATTTTTTTGATGCAACTGAAGGTCAAAATGCTACCACTAATCCAGGCTTACTCAGACGCCTCCGACAGTTTTGAGCATTCTGACGACTCTTTCTTCACAGATGATTTTTTGGAACATGCAACCGAAAGCGACCACCGACCTCCAATCTCATACCCGGAAGAAATCAGAAACTCGAAATTCAACAGAGCGATTTGCCGCAAAGCAATTTTGGTAAACTCGAAAAATTGTCTACCAACAGACAATCTGAACACACAACTTAAAATTTATAGGAAATCTCTGAAAAACAAAAGGCACCACAACATGAAGACCAGGTCTCAATCCAGAGATTTCCCTTGGGATTAGTTTCACATTTCTTCTCTTTTTAATTTTTCTTTGCTGTTTTTTCTTCTTTTTCTCTTCTTCTTTTTTCACTTCTTTCTTGTACTGTATTGTACCCTTTTCAATCAATGAAATCGTCTTTCTTTAAAAAAAAGTGGTGGAGTTTGTTGGGTATTTTACGAGGGTCGAGACTTGAGTCAAAATAAACCCCTTTAATAGATAATTTGAGACACTAAATGGATTAAGAATGCTTGAGGAATTCAAAGGCTTAATAATATCAATTCGATTTACTATTACCTTAGAAAAGGTGAACAGATCCACGGAACTATTTGGGGTTAGCTTATATAGTGGGAGCCAAATGCCACCCCTTAATCACATCTATTACAACACATAAGATATTTAAGGTAGTAAATGCTACAAGTTAGATGATGTTATATAGTGGCAGCCAAATGCCACCCCTTAATCACATCTATTACTACGTATAAGATATTTAAGGTAGTAAATGCTACTAGTTAGATGATGTTGATATATAATTGTTGTGTTTTACTGTCTGGACCCTATTGTTGGTCTCCCTCACAACATCTTGACCAAATCTAGATGTCCTGTCTTTCAAGTTTGATCGTCTGGTCAATAGATAAATAATTATTAAGCAACCCATCACTTTATGAAGCATGACAAAGTCATCAGTTCGATGAAGTAATCCATTGAGTTGGGCTTTGCTAGGCTTCTGAATTCTAAGGAAACATGTCAAGTTCACTATTGTGCGTTTAGTTTCTTTGGATTTTTCAAGTTTTGTGGGATTTTTGAGCACTTCGTCTTATTTGCTTCATGTCATGGCTGAAAGCTTTCTTCTCCCTTGAATGTCTTTCCCATTTTCGTAGTCAAGAGAATGGGGCACATATTGCTGGTGGGACATTCTATTATTATCCGTGACCATAATGAAGGACCCCCAAGGGATTCATGAATCATGACCATATTCACAAAATTTGTAGAGTTTGGCCTCTACATTCTTCTTCATCCTCTACGTTCCTCATAGCTAGTGCCTAGTGCTAAAACTAATGTGCATTCTCATGTCATAAGAACAACATTAAATAATTGAGCGGCTGCTCATCTCTCGAGGCGGAATTATTGAGCATTCGGGAAGCTCTGAGCTGGATCAGGGGTGAGATTTCATAGAGATCGAATCTGATGCTTCTCAAGCTATCTCGGAGATTCAGAATGGGTCAAGTGTGTCTGCAATTGGTATTTTTGCCAAGGATATTCGTCATATTAGTCAAAAGTTTTCTAATATTTCGTTTACTTTTGTTAGACGATCAGCGAACAAAGTTGCACATGCATTGACTAGAGTAGCTAGTTCTCTGTCTAGTGGTCGCATTTGGTTGGGTATTCCCCCAAATTGTATTCGTGATGTTCTGGATTTTGATTTGATTAATGCCAAGTAAGCTATTTTCTTTCAAAGAAAAAAGAAAGAACAACATTAAATAATAAAAATGGAAGTACACACCTATGCACTTAGATTATACGATTTTATTTTACCAATAAAAGGAGTCGCCATAGGCAACTAAATACATGATGTCGGTTGCGGACATTGACATTCATGCACACAATATTGACATATGTGTAAAAACATATACAGGCACACAAATCGATGTCACAATAGTTATATGATCAATTTGCATGTTTTTCAAATAGATTTTTCACATAAACATAAGTTTTTTGTGACCTAATTTTACATAGATTGAACTCTCTGTAACACGACCGGACCCAATATATACCAAAAGTTTAAACGGACTTGTAAAAATGTGATTCTCCATCTTCAAAGTTGAAAGATTAACAGAATAACTTGTGTCGAGTAATTGACTAATTTCCATCAATTCTGTGTAAGTAAGTGCTCTCTCCCTTGTTTATTACGTAGTACATGACACATGTTCTTGTTTACAAAGTTTTTTATTATTTGCTCACTTTTTTCATTTTAATAAGTTTATCTTGCAAAACTATTTTCATGCCCACAGTTTTATTTTCTATTTTTTTCTTTTTGCAATATACTTTGAGCTTGCTTGGATATCGGCGGTTGGCATCAAACTGCTATTTTTTATAACCTAGACACACCGAAAAACAAACACCACCTTTATCTTTGTAGATTTAATTCCCCTCTCCACTCATTTAATCACTTTTCTTAATATTTTAATTTTCTTACTTTTTCTTGATCCTCCAATCACTTAATTACCTTTTTTAATATTTTCGCTTTCCTGCTTTTTCATTTGAATACAAAACTCTATCCAAACTATATTATTCTAATGTTTTATACTTCCCCCGTCCCTTAAAACTTTGTCATCTTTCCTTTTTGGTACGTCCCAAAAAACTTTGTCATCTTTACTTTTTGGTACGTCCCAAAAAACTTAGTCACTTTCCCTTTGAATCAATTATTTTGTGGTTTCTGTTATTTCTCTCTACTCTGCACAAACTTCAATCACACAGTTTTTATTTTATTATTTGCCGTGCCGGTCAACTTTGGCAAAGTTTTAAGGAACAAAGGTAGTACTTTCTAGTAGGACACTATTGCAGAATGGAGAGATTTTATTGGAAGCCTTCATACTACCTCCATCTCACTATGTTTGGGACAATTCGGTTTACGATGTTTGACCGACGATAAAACAAACGAATTCATGTCCGCACTCAAATTATTTTTAGAAATTAAAATTTACATATTCAGAAACTACAATAAAAAACTTTACAAAGTCGCAAAAACCAGAATCAAATTTGATAAAAATTTGATAAATAAAGTAAGCGATTAAGAGTGATTTGTGTTGATCAAGTGAATAATGGTTGAGAAAATCTTAGCTAGACAGAAGAGTATTAAACTTCAAAGTGAAAAGCAGATGAGGTTGGCTTGCTCACTGTGTTTTTTGGAAAGCCTCATTCTTAATTTAGGGGGTGTTTGGATCTGATTTTAAAACTGTTTCTGCTCTCTGAGGAAGGAGAAACAGAAATTGGAGTGTTTGAGTGAAAATGGAAAAATGATTATGGTGCTCTAATTCAAGCATAGAATCAGTTTTTTTGGAAGTCGTGGTACTGGAGAACTGAAAACAGGAGCAAGAGGCAAAATGAGTTCCAAACGCCCCTTATTATCCATGGTCAGCACTGCTGCTCCCCCATTGCGTCTTGAAACTCAGGCGCTACTATGTCCATTCTCTATTCTTCGTTTTTGTATCCCAACAACGCTAAATTCCATTTCCCCAAGTACAAATCCTACCTTTCGCCTCCAAAACCTCTGTTCATAACATGCGCAAGGAGGACCAAAAGAGTCGGAAAATTGAGGTATCCCTCGGAGAAAAAGAAGCTAAAGCTTCAGCATAAGACTGAGCTTGACCTGGAAAAAAAGTTTGAAGGGATTTGGAGGCTTTCCAATCTTGGCGTCTCCGCTCTTTCAGACCCGGGCAAAGATTTTATCTACATTTCCGATGCTTTGCTTCAAGAAATAGCCAAAGTTCTTGAATTCCCTGTAATGTCTTAGTCTCTTGTAACCTTCATTGCATTCTTACTTCTGAGCATTTACATTTGATTGATTGCTTATTGAATGAATGCCCATTTTTATGCTGTAGGTTGCTTCCATGTTGCCTCCGGAAGCATTCACTGTTGTTAGAAAATCTTTTGATGCCCGGAAGGTTTGTTATACTCCGTATGTGTATACCATCTTATTATGCTCAAACATTCGAGTGCATTTTTCATTTCTGATCAAATGATTTGAGCTTAAGTTGGAAAGCGGACAACTTTATCTTGTGGGCATAGATTTTGATTGTCTCAAGTGGATAGGGGTTCCTCTTGGAACCCGGAAAATGCTAGGGAATTATGTAATGGTTCAAACTCAATAACTCTATTTAAGATATTTGTGCAAACTCATTTTTTTTCTCTATATTTCGATTAAATACTAATGTTTTTAAATCAAATTTGAGTTTAATTCTATTCTCCAACATAACCCAAACATGAAAATACTATATTCAGATGATATTGTGTGTGATTTCTTCCCTGCCTAACATAGCTCTAAAGTTTAAAACACTCAGAGTTTCAGTCACTTCTAACATGGGGATTGAAACCTTGTTTATTTTCTCATTACTTATCATTTTCTCAATTTAGTGTTGTCAGTGTTCTGATGCTTCAACATGTTGTAAAATATGTCAAGAAAAAAGTACTCCCTAATGGAGCACCCCCCCCCCCCGCCAAACATGTGCGTTCACTAAATAAATAATTTTGTGGCTGTAATTGCAGTTACAGAAGGAACCAAAATTCATATACACTGTAGACATGGACGTCAGCAAACTTCTACGTATAGAACCTCGTACATGGGACTTCATCTCTGAGTTGGAGCCCAGAGCTGGGCTTTTGGAGCATATTCTTGACAGCAGAGTTTCTGAAGATATAATGGGGATAGTACACTCTTGCAGGTTGCCCAATATTAGAAAACCAAAAATTGGTGTCGTCGGAAGTGGACCGGCTGGCTTGTTTGCTTCCCTGGTGCTTGCTGAGTTTGGTGCGGATGTCACTTTACTCGAAAGAGGGGAAGCGGTTGAGCAGAGGGGACGTGATATTGGTGCTCTAGTAGTTCGAAGGATGTTAGAAGAAGAAAGCAATTTTTGCTTTGGGGAGGTTATATCTTGGAACACTAGCTTTGATCTTCTTGATATAATGTTCAATCAAGAAGTTGGTAAATTGACTTTTCATTGTGTATTTAGTACAGACTTATGGGTGACAGGGTGGTGCAGGTACTTGGAGTGACGGGAAACTAGTTACTAGAATTGGTAGAAACAGTAGTTCTGTTTTAGCAGTAAGTGGCTGCTGGAAAACCTGGAAAAAAATTAAAATTAAGTTTTTCTGCTGGCTGTTCTGGTGATCCCTAAATGTTGTGCTATAATTTTAGGTTTTGAAGACATTAGTTCGATTTGGTGCTCCAAAGAAAATATTGGTTGATGGAAAGCCTCATCTTGGAACTGATAAATTGGTTCCGCTACTTCAAAACTTTCGTCGTCACCTTCAAGAACTGGGTGTGAGTGCTTGTACTACTTTTATCTATCCATCCATCCATTTATCCCCCCTCATTTTATTACTATTTTCTCTGTATAAATAAAAATTATGCTTAGGTTACAATCAAGTTTGGAACAAGGGTTGATGATCTACTTGTAGAGAATGGATTCGTGGTGGGAGTGAAGGTCTCTAATTTGATAGACAAACAAAAGTTGGTTTATGATGCAGTGGTTTTAGCAGTTGGCCATTCTGCTCGTGATACATATGAAATGCTTCTTTCCCACAATGTGAACCTTAGTCAAAAAGATTTTTCCGTAAGTTATTGGACAGTATTTGAGTATTTGAATCCATAAGATATCTGGTTTTTAAAATAAATTGTTACTGTTCGATTCATCAATCTTCAACTTTCAAACCTCGAAATCAACAGATTGGATTACGTGTGGAGCACCCCCAAGAGTTAATAAATGCTATACAGGTATGTTGCAAACACATGTTAATCCATTTTTTATAGCTATGAAGCATGTGTGGAGTAACTCTCACATTAATTTTCATATATGGAAACTTCACTATTTGAGGGAATCTACAGTATTCTGAATTAGCTGAAGAGGTTAATAATGGACGTGGGAGAGTTCCAGTTGCTGATTACAAGGTCACGGATTATTTGAATACGAACAGATTGCAATCTCCTTCACCAATCGGGCGTAATTGTTACTCATTTTGTATGTGTCCTGGTGGCCAGGTATATATAATGCATTTATTATGTGTGAATTGGGATTTTATTTGAGCATTGGTTTGGTATCTCTCTCATGTGAACATTTCGCTAAAAAAATAATTGGTCCCCCAAATAAAAATAAATGAGTCCTGTTCAATGTGTGTAGCTGTCCCAGAAAAAGAGTCATCTTTCAACAAAACCTAATTTTCATTGAATATAGTTTAAGTTCGTGGAGCCAAAAACTCACTATTTTTGGCTTGGGAATATGATGGAATATAGCAAAATGGTTCACTGAACTGTCCACGCTTCTTTGTTATGAAGCAGCAGTCAGTCCATGCAATTTCTGATGCAATTTTCACTATGGGTCATCCAAAAAGAGTCTCTCTATGTTTTCATGCAGGGGTAAGATTGCGTACATCTGACCCCCCTTACCCCACCGTTGGTGGGAGCCTTTGCGACACTGAGGTAATGATGATGATGATGATGATAGTTTAAGTTTTGTAAAGACAATGGTGTACTAAGTTTTCCAAAGTGCAAGTAGAACTGATAATTTGTACGAAATTGTAGCTTAACAAAATTATAAAAAAGTGTACTTAATAAAAGACTTTTTCGGTCGGAAGGAATACCATGTAATATTTGTTATTTGGGACTTAAGAGGCTTATAAAGGATACATAACTGATAGGGATCTATTTATATTAGGAATTGGGCCTAATAGACTGTTACAGTGTTAGGATTTGGGCCTATTTGAGCAAGAATAATAATAAGTGTATTAGACTACTATAAATAGAAGGAAGGCTGGGAGGGGAAAGGAGGTTTTTGGACATTTGTCTAGGATTGGGAAGACTGAGAATAATAATCTCTTTCTTTAGGAGCTTCGGCTTTTGGGGGCTTCGGCCATCGCTTCTTGTTACTGTTCTTCATCAATAAAGTTTTTCTATATTGTTTCTTGATATTCTTTCCTGTAATTGTTCTGAATTCTTGAGGTTCCTATCATTGGTATCAGAGCCATTCACTTTGCGGAGGCAAAGGAATCTGAATCGATCGAGAATATAAAATACCTGGAGTGATGGAAGAGCTTTGTACACCAGAAATGGAGGAGAGGATGGATTCGATAGAGAGAAAAATTGACGGATTTCACAAGGACTCAATGGCGAGGTTCGAGAAATTGAAAGCGATGATGCAGGCTGGCTTCGCGGAGATTAAGAACCAGAAGACAGATCGATCGAGGAAGATTAGGTCTCCTCCGCGACCTGACAAACCAGGTTCGTCTAACTCAGAGACGATGGATGATCGATCGAGGAGCCCTAGACATCGTTCGTCGCAGTGGCTCACAAGTTCACAGTCGGAGTCGCAAACTACTTTTCTTGGCTCGCAATCGCGAAAATATGATCACTGTTCACAGTCGCGCACTGTCTCTTCTCGTTCGCTACCGCGAAAGGCCTCCCTGGGTTCGCAAACTGATTCAGCCGCAAGAAATTCGAGCCCAAGAAAAACTCGATTGAGAGGAGAATATTCATCTTCGTCTCCCATCGATTCTCAGGGTTCGCCTTCTTCGTGTCAAGCCATTTTTCTGAATGCTTCAACAACCCTTTCTGGCCCTCTGGCTTCGACGACATCAGAAGTCCCCAGCTCGAAGGATCATTCACCTGCCGGATCTCACTGTTCATCCTCGCTTATCCTCTCTCACCTGGCGCCGGAGCCAACCGCTGCCAGAACATTTGATGTACTCACATCAGACAAAGGACCCCAGGAGACTCCACCCACAACAATAAACACCAAATTAAAACAAGTTGTACCTTCAGTTATGAAAACAGCCCCTGAAGTGGAGGTTAAGTTGAAACCCTTGATTGATATCGTTCCTGAACTTAGATTGGATGTTCCTATAACAGGGCTGGACAAGATTGATGGTTTCAAAAGTGATGATGTTACTTCTATTAAGAACATTCAAGATAGATTGGGAGTAGGATTGACTAAGACTGATAAAGTAAATATTCCACATGGGAGCAAACTATTGATGCTCTTGCTAGAAGAAGTGAAGAGGATAAGACAAACAGAAAAGTTGTATGTTCAGAAACCTGTGAGGTATTGGGATGGAGATATCAGGATTACAGATTTCTTATATGAGAAGACAGTGGGAAAGTTTGTGGAGCAAGATATTAAAACCAAAGATAAGGTGAAATTGAAACAAGGATTGAAAATGGCCATGTCTTCTCCTGGTGAGGGATCTGCTTACCTGCTAAGGGACCAACTTGGGAAGTTTTACATGAGAGATAATCCTTCTTGTTCTTTAGTTAGTAGAACTGCAGCTGGAAGAGTGTATATGCTTGCTTGCTTGTTAAGGCCTCTTAGATCTTACTTCTCGAATGAAGTAGTCAAAGAATTGGAAGAGGGAGAAGCTGAAAGGGACTGCTGGATAGTGACTGAGCCGAATGAAACTTCACTTCAAATCTCTTCTACTGCTGAAAGTTCTGTGATTTTAAAAGATCTTGTACTGAAGTCTCTAGTCCATCAACCAGTGAGATATTGGGAAGGAAGAGGAACACGGAAGAGGAAGAGGAAGCAGAAGATTGAGGCTGTTTCCTACCGGCCCACCTTGAGGGCAAGGTGGATGTTTAGGGAGGGAGTATTGATAGGGATCTACCTATATTAAGAATTGGGCCTAATAGACTGTTAGAGTGTTAGGATTTGGGCCTATTTGAGCAAGAAAAATAATAAGTGTATTAGACTACTATAAATAGAAGGAAGGCTGGGAGGGGAAAGGAGGTTTTTGGACATTTGTCTAGGATTGGGAAGACTGAGAATAATAATCTCTTTCTTTGGGAGCTTCGGCTTTTGGGGGCTTCGGCCATCGTTTCTTGTTACTGTTCTTCATCAATAAAGTTTTTCTATATTGTTTCTTGATATTCTTTCCTGTAATTGTTCTGAATTCTTGAGGTTCCTATCAATAACATACATTCAGAGAATTCGCACTGGCTTCACTTGTTAATGTTTTGGCAGGTTGTTCTAACCAGTACAAAGCCTTCAGAACTATGTATCAACGGGATGTCATTTTCTAGAAGATCATCTAAGTGGGCAAATGCTGCACTCGTCGTCACTGTTTCGCCAAATGATTTTTCAGCTTTAGGTTTATATGGTCCCCTTGCTGGAGTTCAGTTTCAGGTATCTTTCATTTGAAGCACCTTGACCACTCTTTTTTAGTAGCATTTTGCGTAGAGGTTTTACTTTTATGGAAGATCTTGATGTTTGCAGTAACATTTAAAGTAAGAATTATCACTTATAGAACACAAATGTAGTTTGAAATTCATTGTCACACTTTCCAAAAATGTCTAATAATTGGAAAAAGGCATGATGTGCGGAAACTCTTGTGAAGCAGTATGCTTGCGGTTCAGAAACACTTGTTTTCTATTAGAATATGACGTTTCATGTTTCCTCGTGTTTCCCGCAGTTTCTGTGCAATGTAGAGAATAAGTAACGATGTATGATTGCATTATCCCTCATATTAATCCCTGCATAAAATTTACATTTATTTATGGCGACTTTCAGAGAACATTTGAACAGAAGGCTGCTCTCATGGGCGGGGGGGATTTTGTCGTACCTGTTCAAAGAGTGACTGATTTTCTTGGCAACAAATCATCAGGTCGGTTCTTTTGTTGTATCTCATTAGCTTTTTAGCATTTGTTAAATGTTTTTTAAAATTTATTATTATTAGTTTTTGCAGTAGCATCACTACCATCATCAAGTTATCGTTTGGGAGTAAAAGCAGCAAATCTCCATGAATTATTCCCAAGCCATATCACTGAAGCTTTGCAAAAGTCAATTTTGATGTTTGACAAAGAGGTCTTAGTTTATTCTCCCCATTTTCCTATCGTTTCTTTTTAAGTAAAGCTATAAGATTCAATGCTCGCTCCACCCCAAATTAATCTTCCAAATTTCTTTTGGACTGCCTATTGAAAAGAAGAAATTATATGTTTGAGACATATTTAGCAAGGAGAAAATAAAATCAGCCTCACAGTTCTTCTCTTAATGTTCTTTTGGAACCCCCAAAATATCAGGGAAAGGTAATAAAGAGTAAGGAAAATATGGAAAGCTTGGAATGAAAGAAAATGTAGGAGAAAATAAAAATTTAATTCAAACTCAATAGATCAATCGTAGACTTTACCAAAATTCTTTTTACTCATTTATGTCTAAAATAAATACTAAAAATTTAAATATATGTAAAAAATCAATATTTTAACCAAATGCTTTCTTCATTTCCATAGTACAACCAAACATTAAAAAAACATTTTCCTTGGTGTTTTTTCTCTTTCCTTACTATTTTCCATGTCCCAAACATAGCTTACAAGAAAAATAAAAAGGGTTTAGTTTCGAAAGTAGGGGTTGCAGCTTAACTTGCATTTATTGATACTTTTCCTGAACTTGTGGTTCAGTTACCAGGATTTATTTCCAGCAGTGCCCTTCTTCATGGGGTTGAGGTATGCCTTTTCTATCTGTGATCATTTATGCTTGTCAGCATGAATTCTTTAGTATGCAATTAAGATCAGATAATAGTAATGATCCTTTTTTAAGAGAGAGGTGATCAGTGGTTGTACTCAAGACCCTAATACTGTATGGTTACTTTAGGTTGTATGGTTAATTGTTGCTGGCTTTCTTTGTTTATTGCTTCAGACCAGAACTAGCTCTCCTATTCAAATCTCCCGGACAACAAATACTTTTGAATGTATGTCTTTGAGAGGGCTGTATCCTGTGGGAGAGGGAGCGGGCTATGCAGGCGGGATAGTGAGTGCTGCTGTTGATGGTATGCAAGCTGGTTTCTCTTTGGCAAAGAGTTTAGGTCTCTATGAGGGCAACCTAGACACCATTTTTGGAAAGGGACAAAGTGTTGGAGTTGCAAAGTACTGAAAACCATGGAGGATCTCTAAATTGAAGTCAAGACTAGTTCAAGACTTTTGTATGAGGAAGTGTCAGGTATTTATCAACTTGCCTCGACCATTGGTTGTAACCTTTGTCGCTATAATGGAAATTATTTTGTGCAAAGTTCATCAGTGAGTGTTCGGGGCTCACTTTATTTTGTTGTTTGGTTCTCACCAATGTAATGTGAGATCTCATGAGATGGCTTTGTAGTTCATTTTGTTCACATTCATTGATAGCACATACCACCAAAATTCTTAGGTTACGTAAAAGACACCATGGAATGTGATGCCAGGGTATTGTATCTTTTGTACACACTTGATTGCAGGAAAGTAACTTGAAATATAACTTGCTGCGGAAAATGCTTGACCAAAGAAATGTGTTATTGGAGAATAACTTGAGTGTGTAATACTCCGTATAATATTTGGCCTAGAGGAAAACCGCTATGACCACTACAGGAAAGTGTATTCCTGTGCCAAGCACATGAGAGCCCAGAAAACGTCAGAGTAAACGTTTTCCTGGAAACCATCAGATACTTAACTGCATTCATACATTTAGGCCACATTTGGAATGTCTTCTTTAGATGTAAAGAAGTTCTCCCCGATCTTCAGTTCCTGAAATGGTAGGAATAACAAAACTTCCATATATGGATATACAATGACTGTGCCCAATTCGCAGGAATTAAGTGAGTTCATGTCTTTTGAAATGATATTTTGTCCGATTTTGAGTAACTCAAGACCTACTTTGCAAGGCCTTAACACATCCAAAATTGAGTATAAATTTTACACTAAACAAGATATCCAAAAATATATTATTTAATCACTCTTTCTTATACGTCTGCATTAACATGGCTCATCTTTGGCACATCAAATGCTGATGTGCACCCCTAGAATGGATCACTGAGGAGGAGGGCTATCAGCAGTTGATTCCACATTGCTTGACATCAGGCCCCTTGGTTTTAAGCACAAAAGGATCAATCCTAACCCAAAGCAAGCTAAAGATGGAAGCCAACAGAATTGACCATATGACCACAATGGTTGGTGTCCTGTTCTGCCGTCCCATGAGACCTTTCAGGAAAGGGTACAAATGGACAATGACCCAAAAAGCAAAGAACAGTTTCCCAAAAAGGGGACCCCATGATTGGTAACCATTGTTTATGGCATCAGAGATCCCGGCCACTACCCCTACTAAGTTGATTATCAGAATAGTTGTTGGCGGGATTAGGAGCGTTGTCCATTTAAAGGCATATAGCTCTCCAAAGTCCTCATCATCGGTTGCCTTTGAAGTGACAGTGAAATTGGTGTCTATTCCTGCCAAAACCTTCAGGAGTCCTTGGATAACCGCAAAGAGGTGGGCTGATATCCCTCCAATGACCCAGAATTGCTCATTTCTCCACCATTCCTCTATGCTAACCCCACTCCATCTCAGCTCAAGAATGCCCGTTGCGAAGATCGAGAGGAAGAGAGCTATGAAGAATAAACTTGCAAGGGTGCTTATCTGCATGATTCAACAAATAAAGGTTACTCTTTTCATTAGCCACTGATGATATGAGCTTACTGGGGCTCCGTTTGGTAGAGCCTAATGTGAACAGAATAAGCATAATAGGAACATCTTTGGTAAGATCTAAAATGACCGAATCTGTAGGAATTGTTAATGTTTTAGGCTTTTAGCTGATTGTACCGATTTCCGCAAAAAGAAAACTCATGCTTACTTTTTATTGTCGGCCTGTAATTTTTGGTGAGAAACTGAGTGATAAAAGGTTGATAAGGAAAAACTAAATAGCCTCTTGAACATGTTTTAAAGTGATTTTGGAAAAAGTGGTTAATAGTAAAAGTTGGCAGTGTCCGAGAAGAAATTGATTTTGAAAAGTAAAAGTTGGTAGTGTTACGTAAAATATGTGCTTTTTGTGTAATAGAAAAAGTAAAAAGCAGTTTCTAGCTTTCAGCTTTTAAATGTTTAATTTAAGCAGAAGTTGTCACTTGAAAACACTTCAGCTTTTTTAAGCCAAAAGCTGAAAATCATTTGTTTTTGATTTTTTTGCAAACATACCCTAAGTAGCTTTATGTAGCTTTTGGTTTACTTATTTGGCTAAAGGATGTCTGTAAACACGTGTTGTTTCCTTTTGGTAGTCCAACTGTTGGATTATTTCCATGTTTATTCAACTTATAACTTAGGCTTTGAAGGACGACCTAGTCAGCTTTAAATTGTTTTTAGGCTGATACTTAGCTTTTAGATTAGCTTTCTTCGTGAAGTGTCAGGTAAAAATATCCAATGCATGGGGCAACAATCCTACAGTTGGGATACCAATACCAAGTCATATAATGCAGTTTTAGAATAGAGGATTCCAAGTGCCAAGTAGTGTAAAATTTGGAAGTTGTTTCACCTCCGGCATTATGAACTTTCCTGTGAGTAAGCAGATGGCTGGGAGGGTGCAGTAGGCAAGGAGAGGAATGGAAGTGAAAGGATATATAGTCGTGTTAATATATGAAAATCTCTCAAGAAACTTTAGCTTTCCTCCCTTGTGACCATACCAAACCGGGCAGTGTCGGCTGAAAAAGATCTCAACCGAGCCAAGAGCCCAACGGAGCACCTGGTTCAGACGGTCTGACAGGTTGATGGGAGCCGAACCTTTGAAGGCAGCTAGCTTTGGCATGCAGTAGACCGACCTCCAACCCCGACAATGCATCTTGAAACCAGTCAAGATATCCTCTGTGATTGAGCCATAAATCCACCCTAACTGTTTTTTTTGCAGCCATTAGGAAACAATCCCTAATATGAGCTTTACTCTATTTTTCATACTTACACTTAAATTGTTGGAAAGAAGTTGAAGATGAAATATTTTAAGCAACACACATGATTTACTGAACTGTGTAAACATACCAGTAGTTATTTTCTAGCCTGAAATGTGATCCTGTTTGGGAGGACTCTTGCTATAAGTGCTTATTAGTTATAATAACAAAAAGTGCTTTTTCATTTAAGGTCTGAATTTTTTTTTTGGCCTAAAAATCTCCAACCTGAAGTGTCAGTACTGTTTGAGGTTACTTATCGTCTAAGTGCTTTTATCATAAGTGCTTATTTGAAAACACATGAATGTATTGATTTCTTAAATAAACATTAAAGGAACTATTAAGTATTAACGTTAAAAGCACTTCACTTTCCTGCCAAATGCTTCTTTTGAAGTAAAAGTACTTCTAACTCTATAAAGCATTTATTCTTTGAAAATAAGTCAACTCGAACCCATAGTACTACCTCCGTCCCTTAAAACTTTGCCAAATTTGACCGGCACGAGAATTAATAAAGTAAAAACTGTGTGGTTGAGGTTTGTGCAGAGGAGAGAGAATTCACTGGAACCACAAATTCTTTACTTAAAAGGGAAAGTGGCAAAGTTATTGGGACAACCAAAAAAGGAAAGTTGGCAAAGTTTTAAGGGACGGAGGGAGTATATGTAAAAGTACTTTCCTCATTTCCTGTCCAGAAGCTTCTTTTTAAAGTAAACGTATTTTTGTTTTGTATAAAAAAGAACTTAATCTTTGAAAATATGTCATCCTTCATACACCCTAGGACTGTTAATGGAGAAATAACACAGGTTCAAGTAGAGCATAGAATAGACTGTTTCTTTGTTACCTCAGTTCCCCATTCTGTTTTGTCTTCATAGCCACAGCTGATTACATGAATGGCTTCCTTGAGTAAAGCTGCTGGGCTTGATGAAGGTGGTACACCACCATCAACCATTAAAGTTGAAGTCACAAAGATTGCTGATTGCCCAAATTTCTTGTCAAAGTTCATCTCTGACATAATTACCTCTTTATCATCATCAAATCCTGACCATGAACAATTGGGAATTGCTTAGAAATAAATTAATGAACTTTACAGTAAAATACTACGTAGAATTACCCTACAATTTTCTGTCTGGCAAGTTAAAAAATCATGGAAAGATTCATGTGTTTGACATGATGAAGTTTTATTTCTGAAACAGTTTTATGCCTTTTCATTTTTGTGGGTCAAGAATTTTCCTTTGTTTCATGCGTAGAAAAAAATCCAAGCATGAAAATATGGAATGCTAGAGTATTTTTAAAAAAACCTTCAACGTTTGCAGCGTCTCCACGCTTAGTATACTTCTCAAGCTTCCTCCGGCGTCCAAAACATGGGCAACAGTCACAAGTTACCATTTTTGGACGCTTAACGCGTTTTGGTGGATCATATCCATACAAAGCTTGTCGTCTAAATACACACCCTGTCCCAACATATACAGGACCTTGTATTCCATCTAAACCTTTCATGTTAATCTGGCCATGAATTAGAAACAGTTAGGCCATGTTTGGAATGCAGAAATTGGTAGGATAAGGGATTAAGTGCTACAGAAAATAGTTTGGTTTGAAAATAACTTTGATTCAATTCTTTAAATTCTTTCTTATTTTTATACTTCTTAATTTTCATAATAACAGATATTATGAATAAATAAATAAATAAAAGTGAAAAAATGTGTAAAACTAATTTATTCAGTTTGAACAAATTTCTAACTTTTTCGCATGTTTTCCTTTCATTCCAGTTTCCCGTCTATTTTCCCTCCATTATCTTTCCCTGTCATTTTCCTGAGATTCAAATGCACCCTTAGGTAATTTTAAGTAAAACAACAATGAATGGAATTTGCATCTCTTACATCAAAGAAGACAGTGTTTCTGTTTGCATATCTGTCATGCCTGTCTATACCATCAAATCTTTGAGGAAACTGGACATAGCAGATTTTCCGTCCAATCGTGGGGTCCATCAAGAAACACATTGCCTCTCTCACAGCTTTGCTGTTGTTTATATAATGGTCGCAGTCCAAGTTAAGCATGAGTGGTGCATTGGTAAGAACTCCCGAGACACGAACCTGTAAAGATCTTATGCAGTCTGACAGATGTTTTGGTTTTTCATTCAGTGAAACAAAAGTACAAATAGTTCTGCATGTACCAGGGAATTCATGGCACCGGCTTTCTTGTGATGGTTGAAGCCAGGCCTCTTCTCACGAGATACATACACTAAGCGTGGCAGTTCATTTCCGTCTACATCAGTTCCTCCATTCTGGCCAAGAAACACTTGGATCATTCCAGGATGGTCTTTGGTATTATTCCCTGGCCATGGTGTTCCATCTGGCATGATCCATCCTCCTTGAGGAACTTTTGCTGCTTTTGCCACCATTGCATTGATTCTAACCTTGAACTCCTCATACTCTCGCTATCATTCCAGAAGAAGAAATTTACTATTTAGGCCCTGTTGGGTAGCTAATCTTGCTTATTATGCTTATCAGCTGACTAGAGAGATTTTGATTTACGTATTTAACTGAAAGAGATGTTACTAAATGTTTTTCCTTTCGCAAAATGTAGTGGATCCAGTAATTTATGTCATATAACCATTAGTGAACAGGTCCTTAATAGTTGAATTAGAAAGAACACTTATCCAAAAAAGGGTTTTGCTTTTGTAGCATTACAAACATGACTTGTTTTTCATCCAAAAAAACAAACATGACTTGTTTTTTTGGTAGACGAAAGAGGCTAATATTTTATCCAACATACCTTCATTGCACGTCTATCTTTTACGAATGTTGGTTGAACTTTATCTTTTAGAAAATCGATTTTCTGAGAAAAATACATCTCTGGGGCTCGAGGCTCTATATCAAACTTTTTGCAAAAAGGAACCCATTTCCGGGAAAATTCAGCAGTCTCTGAGAGTGCTTCAAATGTGCAATTAGAAGCTCCATCATCAGATATATAACATGAGACTTTTTCAACTGGGTAGTCCATTGCTAATATAGAGAGAACTGTGTTAGCTGTAACAAGTGGAGGCTCCTTCAATGGATCCACCGTACTCACAAAGATATCCACCGGGGATAACATGTTTGGCTCTCCTTCCCTCTCGTACCTTCATATCGAGATGTGTCACAAAATTCAATCATCCAAATGCCAATTTATAATGTTCAGTCTCACCGTGAATTACTAAAGAGAGACTTGATAAATTAATGAGTAATGCTTGGGAGACCTCATAGTGGAATTATAGGCTTTATAATGTGTGCCAGATAGGAATCTCTCTTTATAATGACCAATGACCATCTTTAGTGTCTCCCTAGTATTATTCTAAATTTAAAAGGTTTTAGATTATACTGACAAATGTATTAGATTCATTTAAGTGACCTTGCTCCAATTATGAATTTTATGAGATGTGTGCAAGTTTGTGTAACTTGAGAAAAAGTGACCTGAGAGAGAGGCGTTCAAGGTAAGTTTCGCGGTCAATGGGGAACCATTTGGGGAACTGATCTAGAATCCATGAGAAGGCAAACCAGATCTCACAGATGATGGAAGTTAGCCAGAGACCAATGGCATCATGAACAGGGTTGAGGATTCGATAACGGAGGAAGAGAGCTACAATAACCAGCCTTGCCACAATTACCATACGGTAAGGGTTTATCTTGCTTGATGCAATTGGTACCTTCCTTGATAATGGTTGTCTTGCCTCATCGACTCTGTATAAAAAATCATATTTAAAGATTGCATTAAACCATTTAGAAAGTGTCTGTTACGACTTACGAAGGAAATTAATCAGCTTCAAGGGGATGTGTGTAAAGTGTTTCCTTTGTCTGGCATCCCATCTGACTGAAGTAAGTTACAAAAAAATCTCATGAAGGTGGGAATCAAATTTTAGTCTGTTCAAATCTAATCACTCCTACATTGAAAATCTAAGCTGCCAAGTCTAACATATAAAGCTTTGTAGGTTACTCTTATTGCCAATTGGTTTTAAGGTTAGAACCTATTTCGACGTATGTGTTAGTTGGTGAGGTGTGGGGTTACAATATATGATCCCAACAATTACCGGGTGAACTCGTAAAGACATCTTTTTTGTCTGTTTGTTTACAAATGATTCATACTAACATGGCCATTTCAGGATCAGCAAAGTCGCCGTGTTCATGTCCCATGTTTCCTTGCATCTGTAATTTCCAATCATCCATTCTTTCTTCCCATCTTACATTTTCTGCAGGCTCCATTACTGGGTAGGGATGGATTCTTTTATGAAGAGATAATCCCATCTGATCTCCATTAGAATGAATTGAGATTGGGAATTCACCACTCACCTGCATCTATATTACTTAGATAGTTACATCTTACCTTAACAGAACCAGATATAAAATTGAAGTATCATATCATATAGTGAGATCTATCTCTCTCTCAAACAGACATGCATATACTGTTTATTTAATTTCTGAGAGTTACCGGGCGGGAACAAACGCCAGCAATGACATGTGGGTACTTAGAAGAAGCATCTTCAACTACTTCTCCTCCTCTTCCATAGCTCATCTTTCCATGAAGTATGGTTTCTACTATTCTTCTGTTCTCATTTTTCTCATCATCTATCTTAAACTCATGCTCAATATCATCGTCATCTTCCTCGTCATCATCTCCCTCCACCCTAGGGCTCCCTTTTTGTGTGTCGATCAAAACAATGAAAACAATACGATGTCAGTTTAAAACTCTATAATGCCTCACATTGATCAAGCTTAACTATAAGAACCAACTTTTAAAGTTTTAATTACTCATTTTATATGGTTGATCTTATATAATTGACTTTCAAGTTTAATACATATTCTTTTTGCAGATTATGTAGATAGTCCATGTGTAATGATTTTCGTACCTTTGAGTCGCTTGTATCTAGTTTTGCATTGAGGGCAATGTTGAGTGCCTTCTCTTCTCTCATACTCATAGCACGGCCGGCAAACTGGAAATCCACAGTCATTGCAAGCTACAAAGAGATCCCCATCCACTGTAAGGCCTACTTCATCCCCACATATCTCACAAACTTGTCCACTCAAATCCTTCAATGTTTTGTGCTGCATATATAACCCATATATCATAAAGGGGACATTAGTGCGTAGTCATGTCGCTTCGTATTTACTAGGATTTTGGCATTGAAGATCAATAGTTCTATAATCTATATGCTTCACAATTTCTGGAAAAAAAAACAAAGCTTCCCCACTCTTATTAACATTTTAGAGCATAAAATATGTGGCCGCAACTTGTTATTACTTCAAGCATTTAACACAAAGTTAAGTTTTGTTTTTGATAGTTTTAATGAGTTATTCCAGCAGTCCATATATAACATTCACTGCTTGACTTCCACTACTTTCACTATTAGCTAGCAAGACGAGCCCCTATTTACAGAATTTGCCCAAAAGGAGGACTAATAAGTCCTTCAATTTAGAAGCAGTTTGATCCCAGTTTATTGCATGTCTATTGCATGCAAGTTAAGAATTTAGAGGGCAAAAGTTCAAGTACCTCTTCATGGCCTTGAATGACAACAAGCTCATTTCGGTTATGAGAACCGGCAACAAGACCTGCACTGGCTTCCATGTATGGCGGCGGATGGAGTTGAAGATGGAGGGAATAAATGGCAGGGTTGAGGTTTCTGTTTAAATATATTGTAATAAGGTGAGGGTGGACTTTGAATGATCATTTTCCGTGTCTCTTTCATGTATAGTTGTTGGTGAATGGTGCAGAGTCTCTCACATTGCCATTGCTTCAAGCTTAACCTATTTCATCTACAATTTTGATTCCCAATTTTTCCCATATTGTGAGGTTGGTTGGTTGTCCGTATCAAACTTTGTTATATTTGCTGTGAAAATGAAGGAAAGTCGTGTATGTCAGTATGTGTCTGAAATATTTTCATTTTTTACTCTTCTTACATATATCACTGCCATTTTTTTCCTTTCCATTGCTTCTCTTTAGGGCTCTAAACCTTTGAGACTTGAGAGGTGGAAAGGATTTGATTTTTAATCGGTCTAGAGTCAGACCGGAACTGAAATTGAAACACTACAACCAAGAATGGATCCAGATCCTCACATATAAAGCTCTAAGATCCAATTTTATCAAATGCAAGACTAAAACTGCCTTATGACGAGTTTGGAATCAGGTATGACTAGACTTAGAACCACCGGTTTTAAGAATCAAACTAAAATTGCCAGCAAAGATCCCGACTTAGATTCTTGGCTGTAAAGAACAGGAACTGGGCGGTCTAAAACCAGATAAGAATAAGACTTTGTCCACCCCTACTTGCTACGAGTAGATTTATGGCACCCCACTAAATAAATGAATGGTGATGGTGTCGCAATACAACATAAGACTCCATAAGGGAGTTATATGAGGCTCCTTAAATTTTTGTACTTGCAATTGCCTCGTTAAAACTCTTTTACGGCGGTTAAATTATGTATCAAATTTGAAGAACATAGATTTCATCTTCAAATTGATGATTTGCAATTTTAACTAAAAGTAGTTGTCTTGCACCCATTGACTACATTGTGCGTCGCACTTGCTTAAAGTTAAAGTATTGTCCATACTATGAAGCCATCATATGCACATATACACAACTAACTGGATGTAGAAGTCGAGGTTGGGCCAAGATGAGGTTTTGTCCAAACAACACTAATACTCCCTCCGTCCCGTTGGAATGTTCTCGCTTTCCTTTTTTGGATGTCCCAAAAAGAAGTTCCCATTTCCCTAAATGGAAAGTTATCCTACATCAAAACAGTGTCAAACAGTGCAACACAGTGCCAAACAGTGTCCAAACAGAGTCAAAATAGTAAAATTTATCCCCTGGTAAGTTTATTTCCTTATTATGTGTGTAGGTCAAACCGGGAACATTCCAACGAGACGGAGGGAGTATTTGTTCTTAGAATTTTTAAAATTCCAAATTTATGAAAATTATTTGGGTTTAAGAAGTTGATATGTTTTCCATTATTTGCAATGTAGTCAAAGACTTGCTACATTTTGGTTTGAGAATATGATGAAATAAAAGAAAATGACTCAATAAATTGTATGTTTTTCTTTTTTACTTCGTGTGAAGCAGCAGTCAGTCTATGCAATTTTCGACATAATTTTCACTGTGAGTCATCCGGAAACAGTCTCTTTGTGTTTTAATGTAAGAGTAAGATTCCATACATTCAACGTCTCTTGTCACACCGTAGGTGAGAGCTTTTGCGACACTGGGGTAATAATTATGATGATGAAGTTGAAATGTTTTTAAATAATTTCAACAAAACAAATTCTTGTTTCTTGGAATATAAAGCGAAAGAGAGAATATCCTAAATAGGAGTCAAAACGTTTTGAAATTCCAAAATAGAACTATCATGTTTTTATTCCCTAAATAGGAGTAAATTTCAGTCAAGTTTGGTATTACTAGGCTTTAAACATGACATTTTTTCAAAACTTGGCAGATTACCCCTATTTAGGGCTGGACTCGGGCCGGGCGGCCCGACCCGGGACCGAACAGGCCCGGTCACTGTTTGGCCCGGCCCGGCCCGTGGCCCGGTGGGTCCACCGGTTTGGTTTGGCCCGGCCCGGGTGCTGGGCGGTCCGGGCTCGGGCCCAGGTTTTGGTGAACCGGCCCGGCCGGTTCGGGCCCGGTCCGGGTCGGATTTTAATTTTTTTTTTTTTTTTGAAATTTTTTTAAGTTTTAGGTTGGATTAGGTATTTTGGGCCATTTGAGGTGGTTTGGGATGGTTTGGGGTTGAGGGGGATGGGTAGGGGATTAAATAGGAGAACAAAAAAAAATTAATTGGGCCGGTTCGGCCCGGCCCGATTTGGCCCGGAACCGGAACCGGAACCGGCCACCGGCGGTTCGGGCTCGGGCCTCCCCTTTCCTGGCCCGAGGCCGGCCGGGCCCGAACCGGCCCGAGTCCAGCCCTACCCCTATTCAGTTAATAAAAAAATATGATAATCCTATTTTTGAAATTTGAAAATGTTTTAAAAAAATATGATAATCCTATACAATTTGTGAAAACGAAATGTAACATGAATTGTAACAATATATTCGTGTGTTCTTAGTGTAAATTTATACAGTAAAAAACAGATAACCGAATTTACACATTTACAAAACGTTATGTAATTTCTTTTTCAAGTTTCACCCGCATGGAAGGGGTAAAATGCCCGTTTAATCCCTCATTTGCCTTCAAGAAATCTTAGAAATGAAGAAACCCAATAGCCTATAATAATGCCAAAAAGAAAGGCAAAACTATAAACGCTGTCGAGGCTACGCATTCAAGGCCTAATCTAGAACCGCCGGAACTTTGTGATTGTGCACGGTCCCTCCTCCTCTTCCTCCGCCGGCGACGGCGCCTGCTCCGGCTCCCCCCATGAGACGAAAAGGAGCCTCTGAGGCTCCGGGCTTGCAGCGATAAGGGGAACGACGCCGTATCTTTCTTATCCAACGCTCTAATGCCACTCTTAATTTCTCGATCAGGACATTTCGTGTCCAATGATTCTTTGTCTGCTAAAATTTTGTGACATTGGAAGGAACATAACAACAACGTTAGTATGGATATTCTTATAAGTGGTTTTGTTTTGGCCATTTCCCGGCAAACGGAGAGGAAATGATTGCCGGGGGAGATTGGAGAACCAAATCATATTAAAAGTCGTGATTATTACGTATATATTTATTTTTATATTTAAGAAATAATATAAATGTATAATACTACACCTTATTTTGTGGTCGTTCGTTGTATTAGGAAGACACCAATATTAATGGTTATTTATCAACTAACAATTCTGCTATGCTTTAATGATTCGTGTTACATTGACAAAAAAATGATTCGAATTATAATTCTAAATAACCAAATGGGACTGAGAAATCATGTGCTGAAGACTTTGGAAAGGCTGGGCTAATAAGCTCAAACAAAAATGATTAGTGTACGCCATTTTTGTATACATTTTATGTGTTTATCCAGACAAAGTTGTTTGTATGTAAAAAATTTCTGTGTAAATACATAAGTTGTCTTTGTTGACAGACAAAGCCTACGAAAAATGCGTACACCAAACATTTTTGAAGTTCCAAATGGGAGGTAAATTTTTTAAATCCAGAAGTATAAATAGGACTTGACGCTCATATGTTAGGTCTTTCTCTCTCTAAATATTACTCTCTTTAGATCTTCATATGAACTTTTTTTAGTTGCTATATTTGTGTGGAGTTGAAATATTTTATGTAGTACACCCCATCCTAGATAAAGTTTCTCGTTCATTATTTTTCGATTAATGTAAATCTTTTTTTAATATTTTACTTTATACATTCAAATTTTATGAAATTTTAGTTTTTCTTTTAGTTTTTTGTGACTTTAGAAAACTTTGAATGTAGTTTTTAAATATTTAAAACTTATTTATTAAAAATAATCTTATCATTGACAGCATCAGTTGATTTTATGATCAATCAAACATCGTAAAATGCATTTTTTTCTTTCACATTTCAAATTAAAAAATATCTTTAATCACAATTTCTTTGCATTATACTTCTTCCGTTCTCAATGAGTTGCAACACTTGCATAATTTCATATTAATTGCAACATTTCTATTTTTAGCAAAGATAATAAATGTAAATCTTTTGATGCCCCTAATTAATACGATAGTATTAAGAGAGTGCTCAACTTATTTTATCATTTCATCTTGCTTGATAAAAAATATACTCTGTACGTAATAGTTTTCTTGCATCATATTCAGAAATTAAATTGCCCTAAATAGGAGTAAAAACGTTTTGAAATTCCAAAATAAGACTATCATGGAATAAGAGTAATCTGTCAAGTTTGGAAAAAAAATCTCATATTTAAAGCCCAGTGATGCCAAACTTGGAAGAAATTTACTCCTATTCAGGGAATAAAAATAATGATAGTCTTATTTTGGAATTTCAAAACATTTTTACTCCTATTTAGGGAATTCTCTCCATTATTTGGGGGAAAAAAACTTACCTGGAGATATGCCCAAGCCCAAGTAGTAGTGCCCAACTATAGTGTTAAAGGGCAGGCCCCAAAGAGGCGTGTTAATGCAAAATGTCCAGATCAAGTGTTTGTTGATATGCCCAACTTATTTACTTTGAATGATCTTAGCGTGCATGTTCAGGCCACGTCAATAAAAACTAGGGGAATCATAGTGCATTCTTGATTTCACTTGGTTGCTTTGTGTAATTCTTACAAGGTGATGGTTAGGAGGTTATTAATTGGATTGGTTTCGATCCCTCACCATTCCAATCCAGACGGCCAGATCAGACTTAAATAAATAGTCTATACAAGATGAGATTAGACTTCAAAGTGTACTTTTATATTATCCTTGTGCCTTGTGTGTGATTATGTTTTGGATCTTTGGTTATCATTTATCCCCGAATTTCCTTTTGCTTTCCACAGTTCAATTTTACGTTTACTCTAACTTTAACTTCTTAATTGAATTTCAGTAGCAAATTGGGATAGTAACACACATTTTTAGATTGTTTAATTAAACTATCATCATATCTTAACTTCATGTTCATCGTACGATATTCGAGACAGTGAGAATTGTAAAAACTCAACCATCAGCAATTCACATTTCTTTGTGAAGTTTTTTATGTTAGGAAATCCATATCA